TCTTTCTTTCTTTCTTTCTTTCTTTCTTTCTTTCTTTCTTTCTTTCTCTTTCTTTCTCTATCTCTCTTTCTTTCTCTCCCTTCCTCTTTCTTTCTTGCTCTTTCTTTTCTCCCCCCCCCCCCCCCTCTCTCTCTCTCTCTCTCTCTCTCTCACACACACACACACACACACACACACACACACACACACACCTGGTCTGGGACAAACTGAATGATCTGGTGAGCTCCAGTCAGCAGCGGGTGGCAGGAAAAGGAAGAAAGGAGGGGTTGGCGTGTGGGTGCAGCAAGGCCTTGAGCACCCCCCACCCCTCCCAAAGCACCTTCGCGTGCATTGATGATGGCGGCTGCAGTGAAGCCTTGAGCACACACACCCCACCCCAGTCCTCCCTAAGGCAAAGCATCTCTGCGTGTGGCGGCAGCTGCAGCAGGGCCTTGAGCATCCCCCCACCCTGGTCCTCCCAAAGGCAAAGCACCTCTGCATGTGACGGCGATGGCTGCAGTGGGACCTTGAGCACCCCCCCCCCGCCCCCCCAAAACACCTCCGCTGGTAGCAGAGGTGGCAGAAGCAAGCAAGCATGGGAAAGGGCTCCAGTCATTGCCGCGATCTCCTGTTTGCTTCCCAATCAGGCCTGGCCTGCAAGGGAAGCGAGTGGGAGATCATGGCACCGGAGCCCTTCCCCATGCTTGCTTCTCAAGCCAAAGTTTCTCTGCGTGCATAAGCGCTTAGGGGGAGTGCATAAGCGCACCAACGTGCCTACCTTCCCTGTCCTATTGATTCTTTTTATTTTTCTTATATGTATTTATTTCATGTATTTATAAAAATGTTTATACTTATCCCTATTATCTTGTAAGCGATTGACAAATCAAATAAATAAATAAAATAAATACATAAATTTCCCCGGCCCTCCCAAAGTACTTCCACGTGCACTGGCGGTGGCAGCCCTGGCTACCTCCCGTAAGCAGCACCGTCACCACAGCACCTCCACCTGCTTCCTTTCGTTTTGCCCCCAGGAGAAGTGGGCAGAGGCAGCTGAGGCACTGTGGTGATGGCCCTGCTTACGGGAAGCAGCTGGGTCCGCCGCCCTATTGGTCAGAGCACTGCCGCCACAGCTCGCTGTGCCGCAGCCTCCACGTGGTAGGGAGAGCTGGGAGAGCACCATGTGGTGGCTTAGCCGGCCAACTAAGCCTGGGGATGGGGGGGCAGGTAGGTAGGCCCCAGCCAGTGCCACCAGCGGGATGGGGCCGCACCGGTGGGAAAGTCAGCCAGCCAAGCCCAGGGATGGAGGGGCATGTAGGTAGGCTGGGTGAGGCCCAGGGAGCTCTGTAGATGGCTGGGCAAGGCACAGGGAGCCCCGGAGATGGCTGGGGGAGACCTGGAGAGCCCCAGAGATAACAGGGAGGCTTGAGGAGGACCAGGGACAGTGGGGGAAGGGCTAGCACAACTCACAGGCTTGAGCAGGCAGATCAGGGCTACTCAGTTGGAGTTAGGGTTAGCCTAACTCAGCTGGAAGGAACAATGAAGAGGCTCGTGTCAGCTCCAGGCTGCTTCTCTCACCTGCTCTTGCTGGAAGAGCCTCTCCTGGCAGAGCAAAAAGCTTGCAAGTCCCCCTCCCTTCAGGAAACAGCTCCTGGGCAGCAGAGAGAAACAGGATTCAATCGGGCTGCTTCTCTGCTGCCCAGGAGCTGTTTCCTGAAAGGAGGGGGACTTGCAAGCTTTTCGCTCTGCCACAGCAAAAGGCAGGCAGCAATGGCTGGCCTGGCGGGTGGGCAATAGCAGGCTGCAGGCATGTCACGCATGCGCACAATGTTGCACATGTGCGATAGGGACTGGACTGGGCAGGAAGCGGAGAAGCGGGTGGAGAGGGGCGATTTACCGGTTCTCCGAACTACTGGGAACCGTAACAACCGGTTCTATCAAACCGGTGTGAACCGGTAGAATTCCACCCCTGCTGACAAGTGCTGCGCATGGGTGCACATCATTTGAAAGTGCTCTTCTTTCCTGCTTTTTCAACCTCAGCTGTGCTATGCAAAGCAGCTGAAGTTGAAAAAGCAGGAAAGAAAGGACAGCCAAGAGCCCAGGCAGGCGGGTGGGCCAAACAGACGACCAGAAGGTCGTCGCAGCGAACCAGTTTGCTGTCAGCTACACTTCAGAGCTACCAATTCTATAGAACTTGGCTGAACCGGTAGCATCCCACCCCTGGTTTGCAACCGTTGTTAGAAATACATTGTTAGCCTACTGTTTCTGTCTTGCCTCAAGTCATTCTCCCTCCAGTTCTCCATATAGAATACTGGTGACGAAGGTGGGATTATTTGATTGAGGCGACTGAATGAGCGTTTCGGGAGGCATTACTAAATACCTTGAGCTGAAGGCACTCTAAGAGCCGTTCACTAAATACTTGAGTTGAGCTCTGATGACAAGAGGTTGTAAGCAAATTTCCACAGATGCACTTGCCAGTTGTCACGATTCTGACAGGAATGGCTGCGCTAACCACTTTTGCGGTTTTTAACTCAGCCGCGGAAACGTGTGACTCTTACATTGCACATTTTGAGTGTTTCCTTGAGGCCAATGATTATGTTAGACTCTCTAGCAATCAGAAAAAGGCCTATTTTTTAAAGTTTTTGTGGGTCTGAAATGTTTGAGACCGCTCGGGCTCTCCTCACACCACAGAAAGTGCACTTGGTACTCTGGGAAGCACTACTGGCTAAACTAAAAAGCCTCTATGTGCCAATGCCATCTCGAATTGCCCGCCATCATGCCTTCCACCACAGGAACCAGGAGGAAGGTGAGAATATTAATCAATTTGTGGCAGCCCTGAGATCGGCAGCATTCTATTGTGATTTTAGAGACCTAGATGATGTCCTTCTGGATTGAGTGGTCTGCAGAGTCTGAGACCTCCGACTACAGCGCCACTTCCTGGCAAAGACTGATCTAACACTTCAAACCACGCTAGATGAAGCCTGCACTGCCGAAATGTTAATCCTTAATCGAGCTCTCCAGCAGAGGACATATCCTGTTCCGGTGGTTCAGCACCAAATTAGATCTGGCCAGGCATATCAGCAGCTCCCTGTTGACAATGCCACTGCTGAGGCCCAGACAATAGTGACGCACAGGGTACTTTTAAGAGTCGCCGTCTCCAGTTTGGAGTCAGCATGACATCTGGCATTTTTCAAAGTCTGATGGAGCAGCTGCTCCAGGGCATAGTCCCTTATTTTGATGATATCCTTGTCTCAGCAGCAACCCCCCTGACCTCCTATTATGTCGCCTGTGAATGATACTGCACAGATTCCAAGAAGTAGGACTTAGATTAAGTAAAGACAAGTGAAAATTGGTGTACCACAGATGGAGTTCCTAGGCTGTTTAATAACGCCGGTGGGCTATATCCAACTGCCACTAAAGTGCAAGCAATACAGAAGGCACCTACCCCTACCCAAAAGACGATGGTCACCCAGAGATAGGATGAAAGCCCTGGGCTGCAGTTATATTTGGTGGCTCAATTTGGATCTGGACATTGCTAATTGGGTAAACAAATGCAAGCCTTGCCAAGAGGCAAAGGCAGCATCACCCAAGGCACCTATTCAGCAATGGGAAACCTCCTGTGTACCTTGGTCTAGATTACATGTAGATTGGTCTAGATTACATGTAGATTTTGCTGGTCCATTCAAGGGGAAAACTTTCCTAATAGTGGTGGCTGGAAGTCATTCTTATGTCGTCTACCACATCTGAGGCTGTGATTAGGTTTTTCCAAAAATTATTCACGACCCATGGACTCCCATATCTAGTGGTATTTGATAATGGGCTGCAGTTTATTTCAGGACCAATCGGGGTATTCCTGGCAGGACAGAGTATCCATCATGCATTAATCACCCCTTTTTACCCCTCGAGCAATGGGCAAGCGGAACAGATTGTACGCTCCACTAAGGAGGCTTTGGGAAAAATGGCCTCTTGGGACTGGCAAGCGAAAGTGGCAAAATACCTATTAGTACAGCTTGCAACACCATGCCCCTTGACTAATTGCAGCCCAGCCGAACTTTTAATGGGCCAACAGTTGAGGACTACCCTCAACTGACTACACCCAGATTATGCCCCAGAAAAACCCCTAGATTCAACTGGGAAAATACAGTTATTTAACCCAGGGGCCTATGTATCAGAGGTGGTATTCAACAGGTTCTGACCAGTTCGGAGAACCGGTAGCAGAAATTTTGAGTAGTTCAGAGAACCGGCAAATACCACCTCTGACTGGAGATTTTACAGTATCCTTCCACTGCCATGCCCACCAAGCCACACCCACAGAACCGGTAGTAAAAAAAATTTGAATCCCACCACTGCTACGTATATGCCAGAAATTATGCAGGAAACCCCCTGTGGTTATCGGGACAAATTGTGGCTGTTACGAGACTCTATTCCTACAGGGTAGAATTAGAGGACGGCAAACTATGGAGGTGTCATACTGATCAGTTAAGGGGGCGGGGAAATGCTAAACCTTTAGAATGGGCCCAGGCAGGGAACCCTGAAAATTCAATGCCAAATCAACCCACTGCTGTGAACACACCCACCAGCACTGAAACATCGACCGAGAGGCAAACTAACCGGCAGTTCTAGACCAAGGTCTGGCAGAATTGTTGTTGGCTGAAGCTGTGGCACAATATCCAAGAAACTCAGGAGCTACGGAAAATTGTCCTCAAGCTCCAACCGCCAAGTCTGAACAAAGACGATCAAGGCGGATCAGGTGCTGACCAGCTTATCTCGACGAATACACATGTGCCATGCTAGGTGGAAAGTAGTGCTGTGTCCAGCACTTTCACTCCGGTCCTTTCTAGAGGGTGCTACACTGCATCCTGATTGGTTAGCCATCTGACAGCTGAGTATGTAAAGAACTGTCAGATGGGAGTCTGGACATTGCCGTTAGGTGGACAGGCATTGTTGTTAGCTGCCTCGTTGGCAACCATTGTTAGAAATAAACTTATTAGCCTGCCATTTCTGTCTCACCTCAAGTCATTCTCCCTCCAGTTCTCCATATAGAATATTTACCAGAGGTGGTATTCAGCCAGTTCGCAATGTTTCTGGAAACCTGGTAGCAAGAATTTGATGTGGTTCGTGGAACTGGTAGCGACTTCTGGCTGGCCACGCCCCTGAACCAGTTCCCTGGTCCCTGGTTGCTCAGTTGCCCCACCCACCTGATGCTCACTCACTCACGCAGCTCACCCGCCCGCCGCTTGCTCCACCCAGTCACTCCTCCCTTCCTATGTGGCACACTGGGCCCTTCATGGCTTGCCTAACCTGACTTCCCCACATGGTGCCTGCACCCCAGTTGAGCAGCCTGATCTACCTGCCCTGCTCACAGGTAAGCCTGCATTGTGCTAGGCCCTCGTCCACCCTCCAGGGCTTTTCCAGGTCTCCCTCCCCACTGCGCGGGGCCTTTCCAGGTGGGAGGAGGCCAAGGTGAGGCATCTTTTTCAGGCCAGTCCAGAGGGAGGGGGGACAGCGGCAGCCACAGCGCAGCTATGGGAAGCAGCCCCATGATTCCCGGCCTCCCTTTCGGGGCACCCCCACCCACCCCTCTCAGCCCCATCCCTAACGCGGCAGAGAATGCAAGCGGGAAACCTTTCCATTTGCTTTCTACCTGCCTTTCAGGGCGCCCCTGCCCACCGCCCCCCCTCAGCCCATGTGCTTCAAAAGGGAGGGCGGATGGATGTTCCAGCGCTGCTGCTTTCTTCATTATCCCGCCGCTCGCTGTTCTGGAGTTTGCCCAATAAGTTCTTTCCAGAAAAGGTGTGTGTGTGTGAGAGTCAAGGAAGGAAGGGAAGAAAGGAAGAAAGGGAGGAAGGGAGGAAGGGCAAGAAGGAAAGAGCAAGAAAGGAAGAGGAAGGGAGAGAAAGAAATAAAGAGGAAAAAAGAAAGAGAAAGAAAGAAAAATAGGAAGAAAGGAAAGAAAAAAAAAAAGAAAAAGAAAGAAAGAAAGAAAGAAAGAAAGAAAGAAAGAAAGAAAGAAAGAAAGAAAGAAAGAAAGAAAAGAAAGAGGAAGGGAGAGAAAGAGAGAGAAAGAAAAAAGAAGAAGGAAGAGGGGGAGAGAGAAAACTCAGTGCTATTATTTTTAATTGTTCCATTATTTATCATATATTAATATTTTACACTGTCCCTATACCTAGAGTGATTTTATTGCCTTTCTTTTGCCCAGGTATTTTTCAGGGTTTACAATACATGCATTCAATGTCTATAGTCCAGAGCATAAATACATGTGAGTTGAAAGGGACCTTGGAGGTATTCTAGTCCAACCCCCTGTTCTGCCAGGAAAACTGAGCGTGCCAAATTCTGAGTTGAAGTCCTGGGAAAAGTGTCAGAATAACAGAATAGCACTTAGAAGGGACCTTGGAGGGAACCGTATACCATTTCAGAGAAATGGCTATCCAGTCTTTTGTTAAAAACTTCCAGTGTTGGAGCACCCAGAACATTTGGTGGCAAGCAATTCCACTGGTTAATTGTTCTCAGTGTCAGGAAGTTTCTCCTTTCTCTTAGGTTGCTTCTCTCTGTGTTCAGTTTCCATCCTGCTTTGAACAAACATTGTTTGCCTTCTGGTGCTTTGGAAAATACATTGCCGCCCCTTTCTTTCTGGCAGCTCTCTAAAAGCCTGTTGCCTATCACCCTCTTGGGCAAAGCATGTGAGCCATTTTCTCTTTTCAGTTGTCCATGAAAGTACATCTATAGTATGTAGATAATAAAGTCAAAAAAAGGTGAACCACATTTTTACAGAACTATAAATATGTTGAGGCTGGGTGTGACAAGGAATGGCTGGGGGGGGGCAGGCGAGGCACCCCTTGACATGAGTGACATTGAGTTGGCCACACCCACCCAGTCACATGATCACCAAGCCACGCCCACACAGTCATGACCACCCCAGTCACATGGCCACCAAGCCACGCCTACCCAGTCATGTGACCCTAAGCCACGCCTGCAGGACCGGTAGTAAAAAATTTTGAATCCCACTGATATTTACCATGTAATTCCAAAGATACATTGTCTTCTAATCCATCAAAACTGTTTTCTTGATACCAGGATACTGTGATTGGCCTGCAGAGCTTAGCCAGATATGCAGCCTTGACATATGTTGAGATAGAAAATCTAAACTTGATAATGAAATCCGGCAAAGGCTTCCAGCATGAATTCCATCTGAACAAGCAAAATCAGCTGGTGCTCCAGCAGGCCTCTCTTCCAGAGATCCCTGGTCAATACAAGATGGAGCTCTCAGGGCATGGCTGTGTTTATGTGCAGGTGAGCCTGGGGATAGCTTTAGCTTTTGCTCCTGGAAACAGCATAAGATGTTCAGTCCATGACCATTTTATAGACAGTCATGCACACAGGATATTAGGTGTGCTTTTAAAAACTTTGTGGAGTCCTGAGAAACAAATGGGTGGTCTTGTCTAACAACAGATCCTCAGCTAATAACTAATTAAATGTACTGGCTGTAGCAATTTTTTTAAAAAGTAACACTAATTCTTTTTGTGATAAAGCATATCATATTTTTGGTATGACAAAACAACCATAACTTTAAATAAATAAAGTGTAATTGTTCAGGAGTCTCCAAGATGAAAAAGAGTTCTAGTATTGGTGTTGAATGAACACAATATATTGCTCTGTTATCTGATTAACTCCATTCATTCATTCACATTCGAACTCAAAACTTGCTGTGATGCTGGAAAGATAAAGACTTCATTGAATCTTGATCTTAACTCTTGATGACTACCTGGACACATATATATTGGGGTCATAGCAACAACACAGAGGTAGTTTGCTGTTACTTTCTTCTTCAACAAATGCATTTTTAACTTTCCAATCTGATCTACATTCCTGGAATTTCTTAATGAGCAATTGATAATTGGGGTGGACTTGGGAATAGGGATGATTCTGCAAGTGGTATGAACTGGGCCACTTTCTTGTAACATGTTTTAGATACCATTTTTGATTTGGGCATAATCAATACATTTGATAAATTTCAGTACCTTGGCTCCAGAAGATGACATAGGCTGTGCTTGCCTATATTGTATGCAGTAGTTTTATGGAACTTGGAGCAGGTGTTTCAAGATATGTAATCAAATGATGGGAGAGGATTAAGTAGTTTGGACAACATAGTATTACTTTGCACTTTCCAGTTTGGGAATAGCTATTGTTTTAATGCAGCAACTTAGAACATAATAGCATGCTTCTCTCCCTTAGACTAATCTTCGATATAACAGGATGCCTCCAGAGTCTGATGCTTTTGCTTTGAGAGTGGAAACATCACCAAACAAATGCACCCAGAGTTCCAGGAAATCTTTTGAGATCCGACTTGAAGTGAGGTACTGTGCTTTTCATAAACCCCCAGTTCCTGGTGAATCACAGTAGAAGTTTCTATTAGACAGTATGAAATAATGGTCATGATGATACTATGACATTGTTTTTCACAGTATAAGCCTCTGAGAACTAGAGTTCTCTTATTAGATGCAAGATTGTCAGTGGCATTGATAGACATTAGTTGTAGCTGAATTAAAGATTTAGATGATAGAAGGGGAATTTTTCAAATTTGAAGACGACAGCAAAGGGGAACACTTTAGAAGATAGGCTCAAGATTCAGAAGTCTTGTACACTGGGCCCTATCCAACAAAATGCAGTTCAGTGGTGAGAAAAGTAAGGTTTTACACTTAGGAAAGAAAAATCAAATGCACAGATATAGAATATGTGGTACTAGGCTCAATAGAAGAATCTGAGTCCTAGCAGACAACCACTTAAATATGAGCCAGCAGTGTGTTGCAACTGCCAAAAAATTCAATGCAATTCTCGGCTGCATCAGAATCAGAATCCCTGATTCTGAGGGACAGAATCAGGATGCTTTGATGAGACCTCACTTGGAATACTGCATCCAGTTTTGATCACCACAATACAAAAAGATGTTGACAGTCTATAAAGAGTTAAGAAATGAGTAACAAAGTTGATTAGGGTATTGGAAGCTAAAATTTGAAGAATGATTGCGGGAACTGGGTATGTCTCATCTAACAAAGAGAAGGATTAGATAGCAAGAAGAAGGGGTCAATCAACCTATTCTCCACCTAAAAGCAGGACAAGAAGTAATTGAAACTTATCAATGAGATATCCAACCTAGAACTAAGGAGAAATTTCTTGACAATGATAACAATCAGGGTCTCCTGATGGAGCAGGGGATTGGACTAGAAAACCTCCAAAGTCCCTTCAAACTCTGTTATTCTGTTACTCAAGAGCTCACTAGCATTTGTTTTATAGCTTTGTGCTCCCTTTAATTCTTCCTACTTTCTCCAACAGTTTTCCCCCCATACCCCAGCTATATGATTTCCTCCATTCATGAGGTGGGAAGAGCACATTGCTTTGAGAGGTAGTTGTCCTCACTGTGGCATTCTTGCTGCCCCTCTAAGATGAGGCCAAAGTTGGGGTGAGGTTACAACTGTTGAAGTCTGCTTTAGGAGAATCATAGAGCTACTGTGTTTGCTGGAGAGAAAAATAACAACTTTTTCTCCACCATGGCAAAGCTCTGTATTTGCTGCAGAGGAGAAAAATCATATGATGAAGGTTACTGATGGGAATAGCAACCTGGTGGAATATCCTCCATATGGGTGCTTTTTTTCCTGAAAGCCAAAAAAAAAAAAAAAGGTTGCTGTTATCTTTAATAGCCAAAGCAGAAATGGCTTTAGAGGAAACAGAGCCCCAGGGCTAGATGGAAAGAGGAAGTCCTGTATTGGTCCTTTTAGTCCTGTATAGGCCCTAGGCTCTTTCTGTTTTTTAAATGTCTATTTATTAAAAGTTTTATATAAAGTAAAATATAAATCTAAAGAAAAAGAACAAGAAAAAGAAGCAAATTCAAGTTATGGAATATAATGACTTCGGATCTTCTGTATAATAGTTGTTTACAATCTTGTTATCTTCTGCCCCTCTTAAATATTATGCAAAACCCTTACTTAATTTGTATCTTTTAAACCTGAAAGCCATAAATCATATTCTTTTTTCAACATATAAAAGTTCATATAAGATTTCCAGTTTTTCAAAAAAAAAATCCTTGTTGATTTTTTCTCTCAAATGAAACAAGTCATCTTATCCATCTCCCACATTTTCACAATCCATTCCTCCACTATGGGAGTTTGATCATTCTTCCATTTTTGAACACATAATATTCTTGCTGCAATTACCATATGCAAAAATCAGTCTATCCTGAATGTTTTCTAAGTAATTATCCAGAGGTCCCAATAAAAAAAGTGATTTCTTTGTAACATACTGTAGCCCTCAGTCTATTTCTCCTTGTGAATCAGAATATTCTATAGGAGATTGTATTGCCTTTCCTGATGGAAAACACTACTTTGATCCATCTCCAACCCATCTTAGCAGCAGATTGGTGCCAAATGGAGGATCTGTCCTCACTAAACAGTTAGCAAACCATCTTCTTGTCAAGATGAGGCCTAAAAATCTACAGTGGAAGAGAACATAGAAGAGAACTCTGAGCTCTCCACATTTTCTACTCACAAACTCATTTGGAAACTACTTCTGTAAATCGTCCCTGCCTATATATATTAAAAGATAGGTATTCTATGTCCAATCAGGTGTTCGTTATAAGAAAATATTCCTATACACCTTTGTGCTGATAATGGTAGTTCTGATTATGACAAAAAAGAGGAAGAAGCTGCCAACCATTTAGAAAATACCCCAGCCTGTCTTCTCTTAGTATAATTCATGTATACCAGGCTTAGGAATCCTGATCATCCATACACTGCTAGATTAAGTTCCTGACTTTTTTCAGTTTTGGATTGCTGACTGAATCTTCTGAGGTGTGTGTTTTTATAACATCTTCCACAACATGTTTTTTTTTTTTTTTTTGCATATTAACCTTAGTTGACCACGAATTTGGTTATAAAGATCTTGTTGCAAGTAGCAACTTCTCCCATATTAAAAAAATGCGGATATCTAAATTTCTATAGACACAGAAATATATTTTATTGTTCTGGAATGTTGAGAAATAGAGATGCTCAGCAGAGATACAAAATACCTTTATACTGTGTGTATTCACAGCTGTGGCCAGGGGAGGGTGGGAAGAAAGAGATATATGAGTTAGGTGAGTCAAATATATCACAAGCTAAAAATGAAATTCAACTGATAGTCACAATAGGCTTTGGCAAGTTTTTTTTTGCAACACGTTATTATGCAGTCTACATCAAATGGAAAAAATGGCAACTTGACATGAAATCAGACTCACATCTCAATGCCGTTAAGCTGTCTTGCAAGAAAATTTGCAGCAAACAAATCTGGCTGGCATGCTTATGAAGATATTAATTCCAAAGTAATTATCCACAGTACAATATGTACGGGGGCTATCCACAAAATAGATTACATTTTCGTCTATAGCAAGAAGGGGCGGAGCTAGCGTGGCCATCTTTGGTCTGTGCGTCCGCCGCTCAGTCTGCATCTAGTCGTGCTAGTGGGAGGTTCGTATCGTTGCCCGTTATTTCACAGCAAACATTTGAAATGTGTGCTGCAATTGAAAATCCCGCAAGTTGTGAGGTGCGATCAGTGATAAGGTTTTTGTTGGCAAAAAACCATAAACCGATTGAAATTTTAATTGAAAAATTGAAAAACTAAGAAAAGCAATTCAGAACAAGCGTAGAGGAAAGTTAAGCTCAAAAATTTTGTTCCAAGCCAGGTCTTCATCCTCGGAAACAAGTGGTAGTCGCTTGGTGCAAGATCGGGGCTGTAGGGCGGATGAGGAAAAATCTCCCACTTGAAAGCATTCAGGACTTCTCGAATGCGATTTGCTGTGTGTGGTCGGGCATTGTCATGCAAAAACAAAATTTTTGAGCTTAACTTTCCTCTACGCTTGTTCTGAATTGCTTTTCTTAGTTTTTCAATTTTTCAATTAAAATTTCAGTCGGTTTATGGTTTTTTGCCAACAAAAACCTTATCACTGATCGCACCTCACAACTCGCGGGATTTTCAATTGCAGCACAGATTTCAAACGTTTGCTGTGAAATAACGGGCAATGATACAAACCTCCCACTAGCACGACTAGATGCAGACTGAGCAGCGGACGCACAGACCAAAGATGGCCACGCTAGCTCCGCCCCTTCTTGCTACAGACAAAAACGTAATCTATTTTGTGGATAGCCCTCGTACAAATACAAATAAACTGTAGTCCTCAAAGTGAAGCTAAATATGTGTTAATAAGCCAAGGTAATCTTACCAAATCCTTGTCTGAGAGTAAGACTAGTCAAAAATGATAGAAATTATATATTCTATTTATGTCTGAGAGGCCATTCAAACCTCAAGTGAGAAACCTCATTCATCCCTCAAAAAGAATGAAGCTAATGGGATTCATCTTTTACTATGTTATGACAATTCCTTGCTTCTTTAAACTCCCTTCTTTCTCCTCCACAGTTACACAGGTCAACGAGAGGCAAGCAATATGGTTCTATTGGATGTGAATATGATATCTGGGTATATTCCTGTAAAGAAATCTGTAACAAAGGTGAGATATTTAAACTTTTGACAATTTCATCTCATTACATTGTTATGTAGAATCTAAAGACAGACTTAAAATACTCAAGCAATGCATCTGAACATCTAGAAACAAGTAAAGCTATTACTAAAAGCCAACAAGGATTTGTCAAAAACAGATCATGCCAAACAAACATTATTGCATGCTTTGACAAAGTGACTAAATTAGTGGTACAGCAAAATGCTGTGGATGTAATATACTTGAACCTCTGTAAGGCATTTGACAAAGCTGACCATAACCTCTCATACTTCTTGATAAGATAGAACAATGTGGGATAGATAGCATCATGAACAGATAGATTCATAACTGGCTGACAAACTACATGTAGTTCTCAATGGAATTGCATCTACATGGAGGGATGCATGCATTGGGTACCCCAAGGTTGTGTGTTAGGCCCAGTACTTCAATATTTTTATAAACAATTTAGTTGATGAGATAGAAGGAGAGCTCATAAGATTTGCAGATGACACCAAACTGGTGGGAATAGCCAGCATTTTAGAAAACAGGCTAAAGATCTTTTGACAGACTTGAATACTGGGCCCTATCTAATAAAATGTATTCAGTGATGAAAAAAGAAAGGTTTTATACTTTGGCAAGAAAAGAACCGCACAGATGTAGAATAGGTGATACCTGGCTCAACAGCAATAACTGAGAGGGATCTATGAATCCTAGTGCAGGGGTCGCCAACCTTTTGGACCTCAGGGAACACACACACACACACACACACACACACACACACACACACACACACACACACACACATGGTATTCAGCTTTGTTCGGGTATTTTCCCACGTCATTATAGTTGTGCTTTTAAAGTTGTAGCAACGTTTCGGCAGAATCTCATCTGCCATCATCAGGCTTCTGTATTGTGTTCGTCTGTGAGTCAGACTTTCACAGCCGTTTCAATTTTACATTTGGGGCTAGCCTACTGCTGTGCCAGAATGGTTTTAGAATGGTGTGTGATTGGAGCTGCCATCTCTCTATAACTACTGGTGGTGGGGGCTGGTGTGCTGGGCTGGTTGGCTGCACTGCTGCCTCTTGATTGGTTGATGGAGTTGATGTTGGTATAATGGGCTGTGTGATGGCCTTGTGAGTTTTGTTGTGGAGATATCCTGGATCTTGTGCTGTAATCTCCTGGATCGTTTGTTTTGTAGTGATCTTTTTTCCATTAGCCTCTCGTGTTTTAACGGCTTGGGTAATGGGTTGTGTGATGGGCTTGCGAGTTCTTTTGTTGTGGTATCCTGGGTGCTGCATTGTAATCTCCTGGGTCGTTTGTGTTTTGATCTCTTTTCCATTAGCCTCCTGTGTAGTAACGGCTTGGGTAATGGGTTGTGTGATGACCTTGTGAGATTTATTGCTGTGGTATCCTTGGTCTTTTGCTGTGATATCTTGGGTCATTTGCTGTGTTGCAACTTCTTGAGTTCTTGTGGTGTAATTTCCTGAGTTTTCTGATGTGATGTCCTGAGTGGGTGGCTGTGATGTAGCATTCTGGGTTTTAGTCTGGCTTCAAGTTTGGGGTCTGGGTCTGTGTTCTTGGTGTGTGTCAGATTGTTTGGTTTTGGGGACGGGGGGTGCGACAGCTGGCGCAGCAGCCGTGGTCTGTTTTCTGGATGGTGGTTGTCCTTCATTTATACTATAGGATGGGCTTGGGCCTGGGTCTGATGAGGGGGATTGGTGGTGGTGTCCCGTGTTGTTTTGGGTCTGGTGTTGGTTTTTGTGGCTGGGACTCGTTTATTGGTGAGGGCTAGCTTCCAGATGTCTGGTAGGTGGGAGGTATCGTTCCGTCTATTCATGTTATGGAGGTGTTTCTCTATCTCGATGGCTTCCCTGATTATTCTCTTCCTGGACCCAGGCTCAAGCCCATCCTATAAACGAAGGACAGAAGGGGTGGGAGGGGAATTAACATACTGGTTTTTGTTTCTCTAAACACACATCAAGATAAGGGGAGGGGTTCTAAACTCCCTTATGTATCCCTGTATGCCTGAGGGACCTCAGACTCTGCTTTGAACTCCTACATGAATTGTCTCATCTCAATAAAGGATTCCTTTTGATACGTTTGGTTCTCAGAAGTTCCTTCTTGCTAATTGAATGGGAAAAAGTTCTGTAGCCTGAAAGGTGTTATGGAAGACCAGGATGCTTCAATAGCAGCCTTCAGCTCTTCTGCATTGTTCGGTCTCATATCTCTCATCTTTCTCTTGGCAATGCCCCATAGATTCTCTATGGGGTTCAGGTCACGCGAGTTTGTTGGCCAATCAAGCACAGTAATCCCACAGTCGTTGAACCAGGTTTTGGCGCTTTTAGCAGTGTGGGCAGGTGCCAAGTCCTGCTGGAAAATGAAGTCAGCATCCCCATAAAGCTCGTCTGTGGAAGGAAGCATGAAGTGCTCCAAAATCTCCTGGTAGATGTCTGCGTTGACCCTGGACTTAATGAAGCACAGTGGACCAACACCAGCAGATGACATGGCTCCCCAAATCAACACAGACTCTGAAAATTTCACACTGGACTTCAAGCATCTTGCAGTGTGTGCCTCTCCTTTCTTCCTCCAGACTGTGGGTCCTTGGTTTCCAAATGAGATGCAAAAGTTGCTCTCATCAGAAAGGAGGACTTTGGACCACTGAGCAACAGACCAGTTCTGTTTTTCAGATGCTTCTGACATTGCTTGACAAGAGGAATACGGCATTTGAAGCCCATGTCCAGGATCCGTCTGTGTGCGGTAGCTCTTGATGCACTGACTCCAGCCTCAGTCCATTCCTTGTGAAAGTCCCTAACATTTTGGATGGCCTTTTCCTGGCAATCTTCTCCAGGCTGCAGTCATCCCTGCTGCTTGTGCAGCTTTTTCTTCCACACTTTTCCCTTCCACATAACTTTCTATTAATGTACTTTGATACAGCACTTTGGGAACATCCAACTTCATTTGCAATTACCTTTTGAGGCTTTCCCTCCTTATGGAGGGTGTCAATGATGGTTTTCTGCACAACTGTCAGGTCAGCAGTCTTTCCCATGATTGTGATTCCTACTGCACCTGACTGAGAGACCATTTAAAGGCTCAGGAACCCTTTGCAGGTGTTATGGCTTAATTAGCTGATCAGAGTGGGACACTTTGAGCCTAGAATATTGAACCTTTTCACAATATTCTAATTTTCTGAGATTGTGGATTTGGGGTTTTCATGAGCTGTAAGCCATCATCATCACAATTATGACACATCACGGCTTGAACTATCTTGCTTTGGATGTAATGAGTCTATCTCATATATTAGTTTCACCTTTTAAGTTGCATTACTGAAATAAATGAACTTTTGCATGATATTCTAATTTTTTGAGTTTCACCTGTACATATTACATATTGTTGGAAGAAATATATTTCTGGGATCAATTCCAAGTGGGGAAAAAAGACACTGGATTCATGGAAGTTGCTTGGAAAGGTTTAATGGTGGGCAGGACCACCATTAGGACCAGGACCAGGCCTTGGAGCTCCTGGGCAAAAAGGGAAGAGATGCTGAGAATCCTTGGTTTTATACCCTCTGTTGGGCCCCACCTTTGTGTTTCCTGTTCCTGTGTAAGAATTGTATCCCATTGGCTGTCACACTCCCAGGGGCAGGGGTCTTAGCTAACTTTGTAGGCTTTGTCTGGACCAGATGGCTTCACCTGAGTGCTGACTGATGCAATCTTCCCAGGTCAGGTGGTGATATGGGTAGAGGGCCTTGTTATGCAGAATACTCTGGCCGAGGCCTTAATGGCCCATTAACAAAGGTGGGAGGCTGAGTTTCTGCCTCTCTGCATTTCTACTTTCTTTTTAGGGAAAATATTCTGCCTTTTTAGTATATCCTAAAATATTTCATTTTCCTAGGAGGGGTGGGTTTTAACTCCCAACAATAGTATAGTGTGTGTAAAGGCAGACAACAAGATACATTATCTACTATATATACTGTATGTGTATGTACACACACACACAGCTCTTCCAAAACTATACACATTCAACCTCACTATGTTTGGAAAAACACACCCATAGTCCACTTTCTGCCACATATTTAACTGTAACTTCTGTACATTAGAACACTTCTTCAGATTTACTTCCCTATCCTGCACATGACCCTTAGACCCAGGAGATATCATGGATTGAGTAAAATGTGCTGAAACTCACTTAACAACGCTCTTGCTTAGCAACCAAAATTTTGGGTTCAATTGTGGTCATAAGTGAAGGACTATCTCTGCCTTCCTCTGCATGGCAGCCTTGTCCTAGTAAACTCCTCTGCCAATTTTCCTCTCTGTTAGAGGCACCAAAATAATCCAGATTCCAGATGATATAAGGTCTCCTGCTGGAGCAGGGGGTTGGACTAGATGGCCTCCAAGGTTCCTTCTAACTCTGCTGTTCTATGATTCTGTAAGGATCTCCTGCTGGAGCAGGGGGTTGGACTAGAACAGGGGTCTTCAAACTTGACAGCTTTAAGACTTGTGGACTCCAACTCCCAGAATTCCTCCTCCAGTCATGTTAGCTCAGGAATTCTGGGAGTTGAAGTCCACAAGTCTTAAACTTGCCAAGTTTGAAGACCCTTGGACTAGAAGATGACATCCGAGATCCTTTCCAGCCCTAGATTGCTGTGCTGTTTCAAAGAGTCTTCTGAAGCCAGGGTTTGTGTCCTTCCTTCCTCTCCTTTTTTTTCTCTCTCTCCCTCCCTCCCTCCTTCCATGTATCTATCTATCCATCTATTCATTCATATATCTCATTCACTTTCTCCTCCCTCCCTCCCTTTCTTTCCCTCCCTTCCCTCCCGTCTTTCTTTGTCTATCCCTTTTCTTCCTTTTTCTCTTTTTCTTTCTTTCCCTTTTCTCTTTCTTTTCTTTCTTTTCTCTTCTCTTTTTCTCTCTCCCTCTTTCTCTTTCTCTCTCTTTCCCTCTCTTTCTCTCTCTCTCTTTTCCCCTCTTTCTGTTTCCCTCTTTCTCTCTCTTTCTATCCCTTCCCTTCCTCCTTCCCGCTCTCCTTCTAAAGTTAGGAGAGTAGACCCACCTGAAACAAACACACACACACACACACACACACACGCTTCCAAGCGCCTGCTTCCAAGCGCGGCAGTGTCACTTATTACGAGGGTTCTTCCTGGCCAGTCCCCAGTCCCACATTGCCCAAAAAAGCTGGCAGGCAAGGCATCCGGGTCCAATAAAGGGGCTGTGGGCGGGACTTCCTCCCCTCCCGCTTTTGGGGCTGGGAAACTCAAGCGAGGGTTGTGCTGCAGCCTGCCTCCCCCACCAGCAGCTCTGGGCTAGGCACCTTGGGTTTGGCTTTTCCGACTGCCTGAAACCTTACCTTCCTCCCACACTGAAAAAAAGATGCAGCGGCTATAGGCTTCTTGCAGCGGCTTTGCTCCACTTCTCCAATGCGCTGCCGCAGCTGAATTCTAGACACCGGCCACACAGGTCCACTCCATTGAGCCCTCTGTACTGGATGGACTTGCCCAAGCACGTCTGAGCGGAGTGGTGCAGCACTCCGAAAGAGGTGGCTGGAGACCGAAAGAGTTGCCTCCAGCTGCCCTCTTTTCAGCGTAACTGGCTGGCTGCTCTCCTCCTTCTCTGCCTGTTTGTTCTGTATGGCCAAGGAGAGGAGAGAAGCTGGCTGGTTGTGGGAGGCTTCTTGCATTGAAAAGGGGCGGCTGGACATGTGGCCACCTACTGGCTGGCAGGGCCAGGCTGGGCTGGAAGAGGAGCATCCACTGGGAGAAGGAAGAAAGCATGCTCCGGGAGGGCGGGCAGGTGGGCTTATGTCCTGGGGCTGCTGCACATACGCACTGCATGTGTAACGGCTGCACATGCAGTACGCATGTGCAGCAGCTGCAGGACATCTGACCGAGCTACACTGTGGCCGCCACGTGGTAGGAAAAGCTAGGAGAGCGACTGGGGCAAGTGAGCAACCGGGCGACTGGGTCGGGGCATGGCCAGCCAGTGGTCGCCACCAGTTCGGTGACCCACACCAAATCACCGCTACCGGTTCGCCCAAATCGGTTAAAAATTAATTCAAGTGATTGAATCAAATCACTATTAGCTTTGTCCTCACCTACCGAATTCTTTGCCTTGGTCCTGTTCACCTGTCGCCCACTCAAAAACCAAAAGTGGTTCTTGGCCTGAAAATATTACATATCCTGAATTGAGGCTGTCTCAGTGTTCATTAACAGCAATATTTTTTTCTTTACTATATTCTGATAGCTGCTAGAGAAACCATTGGTTAAAAAGGTGGAATTTGATCCTGAGAAGATCAGCATTTACCTGGATCAGGTGAGAACTAAAGTTGATAAACAACTAATTCCCACAACACTATCAAACTATCTAGAAAGACGGTAGTGCCATCATTATTCTCATCTTCCCTATTACCTATCTTCATATGACTATAACTTTGTTGCTTGTATCCTACCATTTATATTTTTTACTTAGTATCCTAGTATGATTTATGTTGATTGCTTATTTAGTATCCATGACTATCACTAAATTTGTATCTAATGTTTTATGATGAATGTATTTTTACAATGACTATGACAATGATCTGTCACTATTATTGTATGTACACAGAGAGCTTATGCACCGGAGACATATGTATGTCTAATCACATTTGGCCAATAAAGAATTCTAATCCTATGATTAGAAATGGAGAAATGGAGAAAGCATTCTGGAGTATTCATTCAAGTGATAGCCCATGTGGGAATGAAGGAAAGCTAGCATGGATCTAGGATACTATGTGTAGAAATAATGGCTAAGGAGCAGCTGAATTTAATTGGAGTCCCCTTCCTCATTTTTACTTACTATTTTACTAGAATTAGAACTTTGTGGAGCTCAGACCTTGTCTGCTATGTTTAATGTTTCTAATGCAAACATTATGTTACTAATACATTGTTTTTATTCCCTAGTGGATCAACATAATTTTTTCATTGTTTTCTCCTTTTCTATTTCAGTTGGATAATAATGTTCAAAAGTATAGCTTTGTTGTGGAGCAGGAAACAAATGTGTGGGATCTGAAGGCAGCCATAGTGAAAGTTTATGATTACTATTATCCAGGTAAGTGTTTCAGTGGTAAAAGAAATGGGTTTAATTTATCAACAAAGGTTGATGAACAGTGCCACAATTCTGATTATGACCCAGATTGTATTCCAGTCCTTTTGTACCTCTCCTTACTGACTATGTGAACACTGTATTCTGATGAACACTTATCAATGTGTGTAAACCATGTATTAACATTTATCACAATAAATTATCCATCCCCTTCTGAATTAATTTGATTTAACAGTAATGAGACCCAATTGGCATCCTTTCAGCAAAGGAACTACTGAAAGAAGCATAGTGGAAACCATAGTTTTTATACAGCTAGAAAGGACTAAAAATGGAAAAATGGAGACTCTTCTGTAAGTGAATAGCAGGCTCTACAAATGTTTTGACAAAATAACATTTCTGAGATAATGATTTAAGTGACCTAAGTGATGGCCTACTCATAAGGACTATTACAAAATAATTTAAATATTTAATAATATAAATGTAAGCCAAGGCATACTAATATGATTAAGAGAAGTTTAAGTCATGTCTGTTAAGCATGACCCTTCCAAGCATTGTGTAATTTCTGATACTGTACTGGTAATTTTCCCTTCAGAGACTGTAGGAAAACAAAGTAGGAATCAGATCTCTTTAACTTGTAGGGAAAATATTGGGTAAAGTGGATATATAATAAGAATTGTAATTTTCCCTAAAGATGGGAAGAGAGACACATCACCAAAAGCAATTAAAAGCTAATAGACTGCATATCTGGTGCAATATTTCTACAGCAAAAGGGGAGTTGCAATAGGATAGGCTATGGGAAAAATGAAAAGGGCTTTAAAATAAGAAACGCTACATTAATCACTGGTCTATTGAGAGCAATGTTTAAACAAACAGTCACGTTGGGCAATTCCTATTTTATCTTAGGCTTCTCAGAAATTCATTAGGCGACTGTGATGAATGAAGTTGAAAGACAGGACAAAAGCTTGAGACTGATAGGAATCTCCTCAGGAATATCTGTTTGTTCTGAATGAGTTTTGGTCCTCAGAATCTGATAAAATATATCTGTAGGAAAGAAAGGAATTTGCTGATGATCCTTTATGTGATATCTTTGAGGAATCTGGGATGAATAAAATGCTGGTTAGAATCAAAGATTTGGCTGGGCCACTTGGATACTTAAGCCCAACCACTGCTCAGTGTGGGGATCCAAATTAAAGGCAGACTTAATTGTTGCTGGTATCTGCAATATTTGAGAATGTACTTGAATGTGTGACCCACCAAGTACTAAAGAACTTCAAACCCCAGGGAGATTTGGGGAGGGTGATTTGGGAGCTCATTCACTTATTATTTTCTCTTTTCTTTCACATGAACATAGGAGACAAATTGATTACTGAATACAATGCTCCTTGCAGTGCAGGTAAGGATGTAGGTAATACAGTTGTTCTTGGGCCCTTTTTTACACAGCATAAGAAGAATTGAACTTATAACAATAACTAAAATATATTATTATGTCAGACTTTGCAGCAATCCAACAAGCACACAAGTAAATAATTCAGCATGATTCATTTTTAGAAGAAACACAGAAGCTATATAACCACAGAGGCAATATTGCAAGGACAAAGCAACTCTTATACACAGATCAGTCAAGCTAAGCCATGCCCAGGCTCTGAGCTGTCTGGGTCACCAAACAGTCCCCATTAGCTGACTTGTTACCATGTCTATTCAAATTCATGAATTCTTATACACTGACATATTAGCTAGTATACTTAGATTTCTTTCTAATTAGATGAGGGAATAGAAGGGAAACTCATCAAATTTGCAGATGACACTAGACAGGCAAGAATAGCCAACACTCCAGAAGACAAGCTCAGGATCCAAAAAGATCTTGACAAACTTGAACAATGGACCCTATCCAACAAAATGAATTTTAACATTTATGCAGGGTAAATCAAAGGTGTAAGTACAGATTAGGCGAGACCTGACTCAAAAACAGTAACTGTAAGAGGGACCTTGGAGTCCTAGTGGATGATCACTTGAACATGAGCAGCAGCAAAAAAAAAAGCGAATACAATCCTGGGTTGTATAAATAGAGGTACGGAATCAAGATCACGTGAAGTACTAGTACCATTTTATAAAACCCTAGTAAGACCATACCTATAATACTGCAACCAATTTTGGTCACCATGCTACAAAAAAGATGTTGAGACTTAGGAAACAATTCAGAGAAAAGCAACTAAGATGATCAAAGGCCTGGAGACTAAAACCAGAGGTTGTATTTAGCAGATTCTGACCAGTTCTGGTGAACCGGTAGCGGAAATTTTGAGTAGTTCGGAGAACCGGCAAATACTACCTCTGACTGGAGATTTTACAGTCTCCTTCCCCTGCCAGGCCCATCAAGCCATGCCCACAGAACCAGTAATAAAAAAAATTGAATCCCATCACTGACTAAAACATATGAAGAATGGCTGCAGGATTTAGGTTTGCTAGTCTAAAGAAAAGAAATATTAGAGGTGACATGATAGCAGTATTCCAATATTTGAGAGACTGCCACAAAAAAGAGGGGGTCAAATTATTCTCCAAAGCATCAGAGAGCAGGACAAGAAACACTGGTTGGAAACTAACTAGAGAGAGGCGCAACATGGAATTAAGGAGAAACTTCCTAATAGTGAGGACAATTAACCAGTGGAATACTTTACCTTCAGAAATCATGGGCGCTCCATCACTAGGGGTTTTTAATAAGAAACTAGACAGCCATTTATCTGAAATAGCATAGGTTCTCCTGCTTGAGCAGAGGGGTGGACTAGAAGACCTCCAAAGTCCCTTCCAGCTCTATTCTGTTCTGTTCTATTCTATTCTATTCTAATTATTGGTTTTCTTGCTATATAATGAGGAATGTGGATAAGATGCAGTGCCATCTTTGTACTGCTACTACAGTATATTAGAAGTCCTTTCAATCTGTGTCTTATGTTTTTAATCATAAATGCAAGAGAGACTCCATAGAACAGGGATGCTTTTGGAAATGTTTACACCTGCATGAATGTCTCTCAGGTGTTGCTGCTCTGACAGATCTTGGGGTAACAATTTATATTTGTGAAAATATTTGCAGTGGGAGTCAATGACAATTGGCCATGACCAACACACCATAGGATAACTTGCTGCAGGACAAGAGTTACACTAATTTAAAAAAATGCTGGAATAGAATAATTAAAAAAGGATGCAAAAGGAGGGACAGAATGAAATGTGAATAACATTTTTTTAAAAAAATATTTATTTTAAATAATTAAATTGATAATTAAATTGCAGCAACTTGGCCATGGCAAGTTGTCCCATAGCAAGTTGCCCGTGGTGAGTTGGTGGTGGTGAGTTGGCCACAGTGAGTCGGCTACGGCAAGTTGTCCCATTCCCTTCAGCTGGGATTCAAGAACAAGGATGCCAGTAGTTCATCTTTAATTGTTCTTCTGTGTATCTGTTTGGTACAAAAGAACAGTTGTGATTAAAAAAGAGAGTATATGTATACTTTCTGATTGCTTGATTTGGCCCAAAGCTATTGCAGATATGAGAATAAGTATCTTTGGGGAGAGGATATCATTCTGCACAGTTATTGTGTCTTATTTTCTTTGTATATCTCACAGAGACAACAAAAGAAGATCACAACTAATGGTCTGTTAAGGGAACACTGGAAGTGCTGGAGTAGATCTTCCATCTTTGTAATTGTTGCTTTTGAAGTAAACATGTCAGATCCCTAAAGTGATACTGCCATTCAACTGGGGAAAGGGGGGGGGACCCCAAGTATATTTCTTTATTCTTACTTTTGACAACTGTTAGTTTATAATCTTTATCCTGGCACCTAAGTGCCTTGAGATTTTCTCATCTTTAGGGGAATGTATAAAGGGGGAGGGCCATGTGGGTTGTTTCACTCTGAAAGCCGGCAGAAGATGACCCTGAGAATGCTTGTTTATCTAGTTCTCAGGATGGCCGTTACAATAACATATTGTATTGCAACATGTAATATAACATATACTGTGGATTGGCTGAGTCTACATTGGGTTGAAGGGAGGGTTCTCTAATGCCTTAATTCTAACTGTATTGCCTAAGGGAATTCAGAGTCTGCTTTGCTTTTGTTCTGCTATCACTTTTGCTCAATAAAAGGTTCCTTTTGAATACCAAGTTTCAAGAGTTTTTACTTTCTTGAGTAAGGAGGAGAGACAGAGCCTTACATAAAGCAGACTCTGCAAAAGTGGTCAACCCAGAGAAGCAAACTTTCGCCCAACTGTGGGGATCCTGCAAATCAGGTCTGAACAAAGCAGCAAGCAGGGAGAGGCTGAATGCTGTGGAGAAATGTCTACAACCACCCAGCCAGATGCCTGCTCTCTGTACCCCATTGGAGAGGTAAAAGCGACCCTGGAAGATCCCCAAAAGCCCCACTGGTCGATTGGAATCGGGAAGAAAGACAACTGGTACAGGAGAACCAGAGGTGTCACCCTCACCCGCAACAGGGTGGAAACTAGAACTGGAAGCCCTCTCCAACTAAGAGGAACTGGCCAAAGAACCACTGAGGGAAGATCATTTGAAGAGAGACATCACGCAATTGGTGATGGAAACCCTGGAGGACCTCAACATCTGAAGGGAGTTGGACTGGCAACAGAGGGGGGGGAGGCAAAATGGCAGCAGCAGCAGCTGCCAGAGCTGCCACCCCAGATTTGGGAACAACCAACCAAGCTGACGCAACCGCGGCAGCAGCCAGAGGGCGAGCAAACCTCCCTCGCATGGCATGAGCACCGGCAAACATCCTGGGCCAGCCCCGAGTCCCACAGCTGGAGAGAAAGACCCTGTCAGTGTGTGCTCCCTTCAAGATCCAAGAAAGAAATACTCAGACT